GATGTATCCATCGAATCCAAAAAGCCTGTGACACGAACGCAACAACTGGTTAGTGCAATGAAAAGTGACCTACTAGTAACATCGAACGAGATTACTTTAAGAAAAGCGATACCGAATCCGAATCAATATTAATATTCGAACATCGACAGGATTCCCTCGAGACTCAATTTTGGTTGAGGAGCATCTTTTCGTTTGTGTGACCTCAATGCGGCCGAAGCTCCACTGGCGGCGAGAAGAGCCAAACACGGACAAAGTGTGTTGTCACCCTGCGTAGAAATGGTGAATACTCGGAGTTGAGGCCACGTAAGTCAAGCGGTTTTAATGAAGTTGACACAGTATATTCATATTTGTCCAGTGCTTTCATGTCAACTTCGGCGACATAAACATAAATGATCGTGTGAAGATGATGAATTAAAAATCGGCAGTGAGAGCTGCGAATTTTCCTGCCCGTCGGATGTGATATAAAACAATCGATTATTTTTGTAGTCTGTAACTCAAGTGGATGAAACCCTAGCAGGTTCTTATTAGTGCTTTCAATGTAATTCGCGAACATATGATACACTTTAAATGATCGTGAGGATGATATTTAAAAATCTTTTGTTTTGAGCCGGGTCTGCATTTCCTGATGAGAAAAAACAAAACCTTTAGTTTTTTTGAGTTGCAGTCAGGTTGGTGTGTGCCGTTGGACGGGGGTACCCGTACCCTCCACTTATTTGATAGCATGATTTCTTTTTTAATAGTCTAATACATCTAAAATCATTGCCAGTGTTATCAGTTGCAAGTGTGTGTTTGTGTAATGAATAACAAACATAATGGCAGATTTCACAGTAATTATAATAAAAACGTAGCTCAAGCATTTATGCAACTGAATTTTGAAGCGTGGTATGTGTGTGTGAGGGGCAGAACTGTTGTGTAAGGTGACGCAGTGTCCCGCACTGGTGGGGATGGGCAACAGTATTTTTATATTTGTTCCGGGTCCACATTGAGACTATGCACCACATTTGAGGTGATAGTTCGCGCAGAAAGGGCCGGATCGGTTCCTGAACGCCGGCACCGCACTTTATTATTATATTGGTCTAAACGGCATCATTGTAAATTGCGCTGACCAGGCGACCACAGAGGTCCCAGACCCCCCCACCGCCTCGTTGACAGTTCACGAGCGCTGTCATAGTGTCCACCCAACAAACACCACCCGTCCACCAGTAAAAGACATCCCCACCCCTACACCCACCTGGTTGTAAGTAGACATCCAACATGGATTAACGTGTGTTTTTTTTTTAACAAACAATATAAAAAAACCCCACAATGTTTGGGGAAATTATGATAAAATGCACCGGATTATTTATTATTATTATTATTCCCACTCCGACTCGGGAACTAGGGTCCACCGTCTTCCCCGCGCGAGGCTCCCCCCGTTGACCAGTTACGTGCGCGGGGCTGTGAGGCGGACCTGGCATCGGGACGATCCCGATGGCCGGGTACCTGAAGTGGCCGTTCGATAAGTCACTAGCACATCCCCCACTCCCCCCGTTGACATTACTAGGGTCCGGAAGTGGGCGGTCGAGGTCCCAGGGCTGATTTTTAGTCCGCTAGTCCACCATGGCTACATGACCGATGGATCGCCCATAAACTTCTAACAGATACAACATAACCGCATCCTTCCGCCTCACATGAGCTCTCAGACCGTTCAAAATTAAACTGTCAATCGCTGTCTGAGCCTTGCTGCTGATGTGCCCCATCGTGGTTTATATGCAGATGCTGGGATCCCTGAACGGTGCAGCTGGAGAGGCTGTTCCCGCAATGACGTCACAGCATAATGTGTGGCGGGACTGAAGAGATCCCCGAGAAGATCTAGAAAATTTGTCAACCATTGACGGCCAGATTAATGGTCTATCAAAGTTACATTCTACCAATATCCAAAATCAGTTCAGTAACCGGTTTCGTCAAGGGGACAAATATTTACTCAATATTGATGGGTTTGGATGATGGGGCGGGCTCTTTAATTTTGTCTCAAAGAGGCACCAGATTGATGCTTTCTAACTCTCCTATTTAAAAAAGTGCTAGTGAAATAAGTGTTCAGGAAAAAAAAGAAAAAGTTTGAGAAAAACTGCGCTAATGGTTTGTCAAAGAAAAAAAGGTCTATGCTAACGTTATTATTAATAATATATATATTTTTTTAATTATAAAAAAAGTAATCCATTTTTTTTAAACTTTTTTATTTTCCCTTTTTATTTTGTAATCATCTCGCGACCCCCACTTTGGGAACCCCTGCTCTATAGTGCCCGTAATAGTGTTCACTGGAGTCCAGCACCTCAGCACCCCCACTCAAAATACCTTCCCGCGCCTCTGGTGAGCAGGTACCGCGGTTTTGAACTACAGTATTGAATTTTACAGAAAAAAACAATGAAACGCCAGCAGAAGAATAGTCTAATGAGTTGGGTGAAAAAAAAGACAGGAGATGTGAGTTGGTTTATTCATTAAATTAGCTCAGGATAATTGGATGTTCTGTCTACACCTGTTGATGTGAGGCTAATGCAGGACTTGCTAGCTTGATGCTACCGGCATTTAGCGGCAGTGACTCAACAAATTGCCTCTTAAAATGTATCGTCAGCAATGTATGACAAGCAGACTGCTTGTTTAATGTTAGACTCACACCAATAGCCCAATATGATCATAACACGATTGCTTTCATATCAGAGATCAGATGAGGTGGAGCTGCCTCCAGCAATAGAGGATGAGGCAGAGAGAAGCAGCAGCAGCACAGGGTTGCAGCAGGTATGTTTAGTCAGGTGATTTAAATGTATCAATGAAAGGAAGAAGTGTAGGCTACATGATAAGAAGGGAATACAGTTTGAATAAAAGTAATACAGCACAGTGTAACACTGTACTGTATTACTTTTTAATGTAAAAATACTTTGTTACTGTACGATCGATATCAATAACAATAATCCACAGCTCCTCTCTCTGCTCCAGAGGATAAAAAAAAATCTGGGTGCCCCGACATTTTTTTTCGGGGGGGTACCCGAGCAGCACCCTGCCAAGGCAGTAAACCTAGGGGAAACACTGATTTCTCGGTCATAATCGGTTGTTTCCGTGAACGGCCGAGTGTTGTGTGACGGCAAATGCTGCGGCTGCAAGGCATTGTGGGGCAGCATTTTCTCCTCTCCTTTCGGTAAGGGAGGTCCAGTGGTTCCTAAGCTAAAGGAGGTTATAAAGGAAGTTTGAAACCTCCTTTCCTATCATCTAGACCAGGGGTTTTCAAAGTATGGGAAGGTGGCTCACCTCAGAGAACATAAGAACACCGCACCCCCCTTCCTAATTATTATTGCTATTATTATTATTATTATTATTGTTGTTGTTGCTATAATGCAGGGGTATTCAATTGCATTTCAAAAAGGTCCAATAAGAGAAAATGTCATTAAATGCTCTGTTTTCGCTGTCTAGCTTTCTCTTTTTTGAGCACGCCATTTGAAATTGCTCACTGCTGTTTCTCTCTTCTTGCCTCGTCTCTGTTTGTGTTTGTATTCTATCGTGCTGACTCACTGACTGCACCCATTTGATTGGCTGAGTAGCGTCACCTCCTTAAACATTAAACAATAACTTTTTTAAACCTTTTTATCTTTATGCTTTACATATATATATTTTTAAATGTTTAACATGGTGGATAAATCCTTATATGCTCCCGGCAACACACTGAACAACAACTTTCCCTCCTTATTACACTCACCCCTACTTTAGTGGGAACAATGAGTCTGCGTCTTTGATGCGCACAGGCGGATGATGCGGGGATGCAATGTAGATAGGCCCCGCCTATTTCCTCCACTGTATCTTCTTGGTAGAAGCCAAAATATGGCCTGTGATTTCTAACACTTTGGTTACATTTTTAAGTTTGCCTCTTAGCAAAAACACCAGAAAAGTAGCTTTAGCTCAGATGGAAGCTCCTTTTTTATAAACTCTCTTGCTTAAAATAACATAACATATTCATTATAACTGCAATATATGTTGAGTTGAAATGTGTTTGTTTTCTTCTGACCTGCAGCCTCTGTGGATGAGAGCTCGTCCAGCGCCTCCTGCTCCACAGAAGTGCTGGCTGTCAGCTCCCAACCCCAGACCCGCCTCAGCAGGGCGGCAGGACAGCAAGCACGCATAGACACACAGCAGGCCCAACATGCTCCACACACCCAGACCAGGCTAAGCCGCTCAAGACAGGTCAGCACCACGCGTGTACACACTGGCTGCTCTATTTTGAAGTGGCAACAGTCAAGGAATAAAGAGCAGTTCCACTGTGATTTAGTGTACTGTTTCTTAATTCATGAACAAGTGTCCCATGTGATTTTGAGTGGGCTGTAGAGGGGCAGGAATACAGTGCTGCTTCACATACTGACTTCATAACCGTCTACTGTTACAACCTTTCCATACCACTGTTTGTGTTGCTACAGTCAGGGAGGCAGAGGAAGAAAGCAGTCATGATGCCTCGCGTTGTCCTCACTCCTCTTAAAGTGAATGGAGAGCATGTTCCCTCAGGTAAGAAGACCTTTTTCAACAGAGAACAAAGTTATCTGCAACACATCTAGAATGAAAGAAAACATTCAAAATGCTGATGGGTTAGATCTTTACTGAAATATTCGGAGTTGTCAGGTTTCTTGACAACTGTTTATCCACTTGACTGGTGGGTGTTTTGCTCAGGCCCCAAGTTAGTGCAGTGTCTATGTGAAGATGTTTGAATAAGCATCTCTAGAGAAAGCAGCAATAGTCACCATAATTAATAAACACAAATGGCAGAAAGAATACTCAGTAGATGAAAAGCACATTTTCAAAACGATGAAAGGGGTGTTATTGAGTGTTCTCACCTACTATATAAAGGTAATTGATAAGCAAAGAAAATGTTTGAGTGTCTGTGGTGCTCAGCTGTAGGTACCTGCAGATAGCTTTAGCTGCAAGTAAATGTATGGGTTTATTTTTTGCTGTGGCAGGTCCCATGAAGAGGAGTCGGGGAGGGGTGGATGTAGATTTTGAAACACCAGGCTCAATCCTGGTCAACACCAACATCAGAGCCCTTATCAATGTGCGTACCTTCGCAGCCTTCCCAGTACACTCGCAACAGCAGCTGCTGCAGCTGCTGCCTGAGGTGGACAGACAGGTATGTTTTTTTTATCTTCTTTAATATTGTGAGGCTGATCTCATGCGTACACTGTTTTGTCATTTTGTCAATGAACGACCATTTATTTGGTCAATTTGATGCATGTTAAGACAAATTCATACTTTCTGTGCAACCGCAAAGATCACCTTTGCTCCTTTGATGCAAATGCTCCCGCTTCATTCTATCCAGTCCAGTTGGTATGGTATGGACCTGTGGCTGCTTTGGAACAAACACTATGAACAAACTCAATGGTTGTTTGATGGTTGAATGATTGTTTCAGCCGGATGCAGACTGTCAGTTGTAGTGTAAATGCAACCGTTCAAATAGTTGTGACCGCAGCGGTATGCAGAATGCACTATGTACTATGTACTAGCCTTTAAGCCTAGCCCCCTCTACTTCTCAGGTGCATTATTCCTTTACTGATATTTTTACATTGTGTTCTCTCCTGAAGATTGGGCCAGATGGTATGGCCCGACTGAGTAGCTCAGCTCTCAACAATGAGTTCTTCACCCATGCCTCCCAGAGCTGGAAAGAAAGGCTGGCTGAGGGTAAGTGTATTAGTCAATATGCCACATTTTACTCGTGCCACATAACCAAAAGGTTGTTATAAAGAAAGGGTAAAGTCATACATGCCAGCAGAACATTCCCACCAAAAGGCAACACTGTGCCGAAGCATTCTTTACGTGTGTGAATGAGAAGGAGGCCATGGGTGCAGAAGGACACAAATAACAACCACTTCTGGATGTTGATGAATCAGTCTGTCAGGGACCTGATTCAGAGAAGATCCTGTCTTTCTGCTTCTGATGGTGACACTGTCCTGAAACATTACTAACACCAGCTGCTTATTTACAAGTGATGGGCAGCTTATTAGATTTATAACAAAACTATCCTTCAAAAAGGTCAGTTGTGAATCTACTTTTTAAACCTTTATATGTGTTTGACACATTTAGGTGAGTTCACCCACGAGATGCAAGTGCGTTTCCGACAGGAAATGGAGAAAGAGAAGAAAGTAGAGGCTTGGAAGGAAAAGTTTTTTGAAGAGTACCACGGGCAAAAGTAAGAACCATCCCATTTCATTTGAGTCCAAAATCAATGTTCACACAGCAGCCATATTCTTTCTTATGTCATATTTAGAGTGGTTCCTTTAAGGTTAATATCTTGGCATTGTAAGTATTATTTAAGCCTGACTAGAAGCCTGTATAGCCTTTTATATTTGACATTTATTTGCATGTATTATATTGTTTATTTCCATCTCCTTGCCTTCCTCCATATAGTTTAGATGACATTGTTTACCACAATGCGCTGAAACATTGTTTGTGTTCCTGTAGGTCTGGCCTGACACAAGAGGAGTCCCTGAAGCTCACCATGAGTGAAGCCGGTGAAGCTGCAGCCGGCGTGCTGGACGCTGACGTGGCTGTGGTGGCAGCTGGGGCCCCCAAGAGACGCAGCGTGGGTCGGCGAAGGAGAGATGGCAGGATGAGGAGACGCACAAGAGCTGACCTGCGTCGGAGGGCCCGTCGGACCCTCTGCAAGGCCCCTCCCCCTGCTCTGCAGTCTGCAGTCGCCGCTGAGCCCAGCCCTGAACTGGACCTCCCAGCAGATTCTATTGGCTCTCCCATGTCCGACAACACGGTCATTCAAGGAGAGGTGGTGCTGCAGGCTGAGTGCGGTGTGGAGCTCCCTGCTGAGAGTCCCTCCATAGAGACAAAGACCCCCCCCACTCCAGAGCCAGTCATATTGTCAGCCTCCACTCCCACCCCTACTCCCAGCCCAGCCGCCACCAGTGCAAACGAGGAGCCTGAGGCTGCGTCCCGCCTGCTCCCAGAGGAGAATGCGCTTCTACTGGCTTCTACCTCCTCACCTTCCTCCTCCTCCTCCTCTTCTTCGTCTTCAGCCTCTTCGCCTGTCTCCTCTCCCTCTTCACCTTCTGAAACACAGGGAGCCTTCGCCACAGGCCTGGACTCTTCCTCCTCCTCCTCCTCCTCCTCCTCAGCATCCTCCAGTGCTGCAGTCGCCGCCGATCCTCTGGATGACACTGCCTCTGTTGTCACCTCCATCACAGGGGGGACGGCCACCAGCAGCCGTGAGAGCAGTCCATCAGCCAGCCCAGCCCCCACCCCTGCACCCAGCGCTCAGCTCAAGGAACAGAAGAGAAGGCCCGATGAGGCCCAGGCCTTCTCCAGCTTCCCCGAAAAAAGGCCGCGGATTGAGGACCGTCAGTCCTTTCGTACCACAATTGACGGTGTCCGTACGGAGAAGCCGCAGCAGACAACCGAAGAGCCCAAGGTGCCACCTATCCGGGTAAGACTTTGTGCACCAAAGTAAACTGCCTGTTCATCAATAAGCATTTACCTGCGGTAGTTTGACTAACTGTCCTTGCGTTTCTGTCCCAGATTCAACTCTCCAGAATCAAACCCCCCTGGGTCAAAGGTCACCCAACCTACCAGATCTGCCCCCGCATCGTGCCCCCCGGCGAGGGCTCGCGGCCGTCGGGGACGGGCGGTGCGCGGACCCTTGCGGACATCAAAGCCCGCGCCCAGCAAGCCCGGGCCCAGCGGGAGGCCGCTGCTGCTGTTGCAGCCTCTAGCGAAGGGGCAGGGCCGGGGGTCCGGCTGCGGCCTGCTGCTGGGCTACCGGATTGCAGCAATGGACGACGAGCGAGAGAGCATCCAGGACCTATCGAGCCCGGAGGAGGAGGAGGAGGAGGAGGAGGAGGAGGAGGAGGAGGAAGAGGAAGAGGAAGAGGAAGAGGAGGAGGAGGAGATTATCCAGATTCTTCTGGGTCTGCTCTCCCTGCGGATGACATGGCTC